GAATCTCACATATTGGTAGGGTAGGGGGATCACATTGTTTCATTTTTCTTTACATATGGGATTATTTTGATAAAATTTACCTATGGGATTATAGCCAAACGAAAACAATCCAAACTAGAGGTTGGATTCTAGTTCATATTAGCACCAAAAGTGTTTTTTAGTCTTTCCACAACCACCCTACTCTTATACACCATTCTGCCTCCTAACTGCTACCTTCCAACTATTATTTTTTTGTCATTTTTCTTTAAACTTCAAAGTTGTGCGAAGGGAAGGGGACTGTGAATGGGATACAGTTAGGAGATGATGTGATTGAATAATTCTTATGCCATATTTGGTCTAGTAATTAGGTGTAGAGTTCTAGTAAAATTTTATATGATTATTGTAATTAAATTGATAGACCTTATCAACAATAAGTAGATTGATAAAAGAGATATGAGTAGGGTAAAAATCATTGTAGTGGGTGTAGGGGGAATGAATGGAGTTGGGGGATGGTCAGGGCAAATGGAAAAAGAAGTTTTTGATCATTTAGCCAATCTGATTTTTAGTGCAATTATCTGCTAAATGCTCCAAGGCTATATCTTTCTACTGCTGGATAAGCTACTGATTTGACTATTCTCATTTGTACTTTTAATTTACTATCTTCCAGTCTGCTTAACAATTGGAGCTTATTCAAGGTGGCTTAATGCTGCATCAAGTGGACTCTCATTCTTGCCCTCACTCATTGATATTCTTGTGAGTGGCATGAGTATGTGTGAAGATTCTGCAGCAGCTGCTGCTTTAGCTTTCAGACACATATGCAATGGTAAATGCTTCGTTCAGGTCCTCATGTTTGTATTTAGCTATTTTAAGTGTTACTTTTCCTAAATTCTACCTTTTATCTAAAAAAGTGTTTTAGTGAAAGAACTGTTTTTTTTTCTATACTCATTTTCTCCTTTATATCACTGGGTGTTTTATATATATATATATATATATATATATATATATATATATATTTTAATGTTGTGTGTGTCTGTAACAGATCTCTAATATTTGACAAATTGATGTAATTTTAAAACCCTACGGTTGGGTTCTGTCCACAATTTATTTAATGCTTATAAGACTAGTTGGTGGATATTGATGTACCTCTTGTTTCAAATTTATTTCCAGTTTATCTGTGGTAGAATTTAAGGATATATCATTTTTTAAATTTTGTGAATTGCATCTTGATTACTCAGCGCCTTTGAACAAATGACCTGGTGAATTTGCTCCTTCCCTGAGTTAACATTCTGGCCAGAGTTAATAGTTCTCTAGTTAAGCTTGTTTCGAAATTTTTGTTGTCATTGTAGATTGTAAGAAGAAGCTTTGCGGGTCCTTAGATGGTCTGTTTCAAATTTATCAAACGGCAGTTATTGGGGAAGGCCCCTTCAAAGTTTCTGCGGAAGACTCGTTGCATCTGGTTGAAGCTTTAAGGTATTATCTACTTCGTAGAAGCTGATCCCTAAGTTAGACTCTTTATCTTGTTAAATCAATAGTCTCACCACTCTCCCTGCAAAATAAACACACTAGTCCCCTACTTTTGCAGTATGGTTATTACAGAACTTCCTTCAGAACAAGCTAAAAAGGCCCTTGAAGCAGTATGCTTGCCATCTGTTGCTCCATTACAAGTTAGTCTCCTTTCTAAGATTTTCGGAATGACTTTTTAAAGTGTCAAAATACCAATAATTTGAGATTACTCTCAGGAGATGATCAATCAAGGTCCCCTGGTTTTGGGGCAAAAAACCGCTCGTGAATTAACTGTTCATTTTGATCGACTTGCAAATATATTTAGGTAAGAAGCAATTACCTTGTATCGTCTTTCATCTTGATTTTATTTGCATATTGTCAATTTTGGGACTGAAACCATTTGCAGATATGTAAATCACCCAGAAGCGGTTGCAGATGCAATTCAAAGACTTTGGCCTATTTTCAAAGCCATTTTTGATGTGTAAGAAAGCTGTTCGCTGTAAATATTATTTTTGGGATAATTCTTTGATTATAAGCTTGCCTGATTGTTGTTTCTGACAATATTCACATAGTCGTGCTTGGGACATGCGAACAATGGAGTCTCTTTGCCGGGCTTGCAAAAATGCTGTAAGTGCTATTATCTATGCCATCTCCTGCCTAGGGGTTCAAGGAAATTATTTCTCAAGCCGCCTAATAATGGAAATGCTGTAGTGGCACATCTACTGTCACTATGTGCGGTTTTTCTTAGTCCTTTGAGTGCTTCTTGCTCGTCTCTTCCTTATTCTTGTGCCTCTTGACATCTAACATCAATGACTGATTACTTTCTGCTTTCAGTGAATTTTTGCTGAGATATGTTGCTTAATGTCGTGACCTCAAACTGCGTTATGTTCTGTTGAATTATGATTGATATAACCCCTCCAGATTGATTAAAATGATCTGGTCTGAACTCTGACAAGTGGGAGCTTGTCCAACAGCGAGCCAAATGGTATTACATTCCCTAACTCTAATGATTTCACCCATTAGGTACGAACTTCTAAGAGGCTCATGGGAGTTACGATTGGGGCGATGCTGGAGGAAATACAAGGACTATACGGACAACACCACCAACCCTGTTTCCTTTATCTCTCTAGTGAAGTCATTAAGGTATTTGAGTTCTGTTACATTGCAAAGTTTTAACCAAATTTGCAATCGCCATTTTGAGCAACAGTTGGAACGTCTGCTGCAGATATTTGGTTCTGATCCAACTTGTGCAAATTACTTGAAAGTTCTCATTGAGTCTCTCTTTAGCCATACAGCGTGTCTTCTTACAAAGATTCAGGTGCAGTCTGTTGCTTGATTTTGCATTTTATTGCTAGCTACATATGCTAATTTCGAAATTTGGGCTATAGGATTTCACTTCCCGTCCGGATATAGCAGATGATTGTTTTTTGCTGGCATCAAGATGTATTCGCTACTGTCCTCAACTACTTTTTCCATCTCTTGTGTTTCCATCATTGGTGGATTGTGCCATGGTAGGCATCACCGTGCAGCATAGGTAAAATCCTCTCTATTTGGAAGTTCTTGCCTATATACATCTGTTTGATGTAAAAAAGAAGCTCTGGTTCAGATATGCAGAATGGGTGAAGATGGTGTATTCTGGATAGTACCATAAAATAATTGTGAGACTATGTGAAGCCATATGTCTTATGGTTGAATCTTCAAGGCCCCAATAGTTTTGGTCCTTCATGCATAGACGCTATTGTTGAGATATATACCTTCATAGGCAAAACTTTAATGTACCTTTATCATTTCATTAGGGGCTCTTGCAAAGACAACTAAGATTTACTTCTCCTACAGTAGTTTCATTATCCTTTTCATCTGGTATTTTATAAAGTTTTGATTGTTCTAACTATTGAAGCATTGACTGTATTGTAGGGAGGCGTCCAATTCAATATTGAATTTTTTATCCGACATATTCGATCTTGCAAACTCTACCCAGGGAGAAAGTTGCCTATCCATAAGGGACAGTGTAATTATTCCTCGAGGACCCACTATCACCAGAATTTTGGTTGCTTGTCTAACTGGAGCCCTTCCCAGCTCACGACTAGAAACAGTAAGTACACATCCTTACCTTCTACAGAAGGCAGATGAGTTAAAAAGAAAGGTGCAGGATTCTTGTGTTGACAGTTAATTTTTGTCACTTACTCCGAGCTGAGCTGTTTCCTCTGTAGGTAACTTATGCTCTATTGGCATTGACCCGGGCATATGGATTGAAAGCCCTTGAGTGGGCAAAGGAATGTGTGTCCTTAATTCCATCAACAGCTGCTACAGAATTGGAGAGGACCAGATTTTTACAAGCTTTGTCAGATGCAGCCTCTGGGGCAAATATGAATAATCTGGTGGTCCCAATTGAAGAGCTTTCAGAGGTTTGCCGGCGTAATCGAACTGTTCAGGAGATAGTTCAAGGAGCTTTGAGGCCACTTGATCTGAACATAGTAGCTGTATCATAGGGGAGATGGTGCGGGGGGCCTTTTTTTTTTACCGTTGCCCTTCTCTCAGGCGGTAGTTTTTCATGATTCTTTGGAGGCCTTATTTCATTGTTTGTCCATTATTGCGGCTTGCTTATTTATACGAGTTGATGCGGCAAAAGGGTGGTGTTGTATTATTGTAACAGTTCTCTTGGCTTGGCCTTCACTTTTGGCCCTTTTCGTTTTTAGGGATTTTTTTTTCGAGGGAGAGGAGTTTCCAGTTTTGAGGTTTAATCCTGGAGTTCAAAGTATAAGCTTCTTGAATTTGGTGAGATTTTCCAGTTTAACAGTGTACAGAAAAAATACATCAAACCGTGTCACTTGTGCAGATAATGAAAGTTGCTTTCAATACGTTCAATAGATGAATGCTGGGGAAAGGAATGTGGCATCTTTATTTCATTATACGGATATCTGGTGCGGCTTTATGGTATTGATCGTACCGTTATTGTTTCAACAAATTAAAAGTATATAGATGGCCTAAAGAATGCCAAAGTCTTGGAATCGAGGTGGCTCAATCCGTAACCCACTAAAATTAGTGATAATGAAAAAAGGCACCAAGTAATAAAATTAGTTATTCTCTCTATGAACGTGGTTTTCTTTCCCGTTTAAGATAATAAACTGGGAATCTTCCACCAAATAAATTCAAGATTTCCCTATAAATTAGTAAAGAAAGAGTTTGCAATCAAGAAGTCGACGCTGGATGCTGATATAAAAAGGAGTTTTAATTAGTTAATTGTCTGGATGTGTCAAAAGCATGAAGTATGCACCTTCTTATCAGCAAAGGTTTTTGATTGATTAATCTAAGCATGCGCCTTCTTATTAGTATATACTTTTAATTGATTAATCTTAGCATACACTGTATGACCGTACTTTCTATTCCACAAGGCGGAATAATTATATAGAACACATCACAAAACGTTGTTATGGTAAAAATATTACAATTATATGGAGTAGTATATTGGCTCATCCCTTGAACTAATTTCCTGTAAATAATACTCCAAACAAAGTCTAATGGCCACTAGATTCTTCTCTCATTTCCATTATCTTGTCAACATTTTCTGTTCGTGGCTAATTCAAGTATCGAGGCTTCTAGTACTGGTTATTCTTGTTGTGTACAGTTATTATGTACTGAGACAGGGAAAGTGCAAGTACAGGGAAATTTTAGACAAGAAAAGCTCTAAATTTGTGTACAGGAGGCAGCCGTGGACATTATTATTGAGGTTAGTGATTGCAAAAGATGAGGAGGAGGTGGAGATGCTTGATTGTGCAATTTGTTTATTAGAATTCGAGCATGGAGATAAAGGAAGGAAGTTGGAAAGTTGCAGTCATATTTTCCACGACGAGTGCTTGGAAAAATGGCTGATACATGGTAAGGGACAAGCAACTTGCCCACTTTGCCGGAGTGTTGTTATAATAATACCACAGGATATGGTACTGGAGGAGCATCACAAGATTATTGAAGATGATACAGAACACAGGACTAATATCTTTGAGGAAGAACTTGCTCTTCTATTGCTTTCTGGCTTGACTAGTACTGGATGCTGCACCAGATAAGCATATGCAAAAGTCAGGATTTAAAATTTATACTTCCTGAACGAATCTTATATCTCTTTTTAGTTATTAGGTTCGCAATTAGATAATTATACTATTCAATGAATTTTATGATACAAATCACAAATAGTGATACAAATATACTCCCAAAACCTGTTGTCACTGATTACATGAGCATCTAAATGATAACATAGTCTGATTGATACAAACACTGTCTGGAATATAGAACCATACAAATAATTGAAAGGAAAGAGAGTCAAGGTCTGCGGATGCCAAGGCAACTACCTCGATAATGTCCAATAGATAAGACCCCAAATCTAGCAACCGCCGTATCCGGAAGTATCTGGATCTGCACACAAAGTGCAAAGTATGATATGAGTACAACCTACCCAATGTACTCAATAAGTAACAAGACTAACCTTGGGCTGGAAGTAGTGACGAGCTCAACAGGTACAGTCCAGTATAAAAAATAACAGTACGAAAGGCATGCTTTCAAGTTCAGTAGATGAACTAAACACAAATAAAATAGATTAATTCTGAATGATATGAGGAATATGACATCTCTATATCTACGTGCCAATGTACATACTGTATGTGATGCACCTCAATGGGACCCTCGTGCACTCACACTCTCAGAATACTCAATCACTCAGTACTGTATATGGCCAATCCAGCCCAGGAAAGATCCATCCCAAATATATATATCAACTGACAGTCAGTTACTCAGTACTATATAAGGTCAATCCAGCCTAGGGAAGATCAATCCCCAAATATAAATGATAAGGCAACTCCATGCACAAGGAAGATCCATCCCTCAATATAAATAAATAGGCAAGATCCATGCAAGGGAAAATCCATCCCAAAAATGTAAATAATTCGGGCAAGATCCATGCCCAGGGTAGATCCATCTGTCAATATAAATCAACTACGCTCACTATATGAGATGCAGACTCCGGAGGGGCTCTTTCAGCCCAAGCACTATAATAAGCCAGATCCAGGTGATGTGTGGCTATAATTCTAAACTTTCGTACATTATTTACCTTGCATTTTATATGCTTTAATGATAAAGTATACTTTATTTGCGCGTAATGGAGTCTATTTTATGTGTAGGTGAATTGGAGATGAAAGTAGAGCAAAAGGGAGATTTAAACATTGAAAGCATGCTCGAGAACACTGAAAAGGAGAAAGCTGGTGAAGCCAGGCCTATAGAAGGCTTTACACCTGGCGACGCCAGGCCTTTAGCTCGCGTTGGAGTTGGCGACGCCAGGCCTAGGGCGAGCTCAAACTGGCAGTATACCTCGCGAGGCCAGGTCTGAGGCGCGCACATTCCGAGTTTTGAAGGCTTAATTCGTCTCCTGGTTTGACTAGGACTTGGCCTACACGTTTAGGTCTTTTCCTACACATGTAAATAGACCTAAAAATGTCACTTTAGACAGAGGGAGAGCACGAAGCCGCCGTAGAGACCGACATTAGATCGAGGATTCAACTGAAGGAGGCAAGAACACATTAGGAGCAAAGCTGGGAATTCTTCTACGAGTTTTTCACTTCCTTCTTCCTATTTTCATTATTCGTTATGAATTCTAGTATTGTAGTTATGCATACTGTTATGAATAGCTAACTTGTTATCTAGGGTTTTGATGGAACCTATTGGAGGATGATTTTCCCGTTACATTAATATAGATTTGATGTAGCCTTTTCTCTATTTGTTCAACTACATTTATCTAAAGAACTCTCAATCGACTGTGCCTATTTAGTGTGTATTACTCGGGAGAGAGTGCATATTTAGGTAGTTGTTGAACAACTTCACTCCTAACGTATATAAGGGATCAATACGGAGGGTTTAAACGTGGGATTAGGGATAACGAAATCTTAGTGTGATCCGAGTGAGCCGTACTTAATGCCAGCTAGCGTAATTCGGAAGAATATATCTAATAAATTGTGGTAGTTACTCGGGAGAGAATTACAATACTCAGAGCACTCATGATCGGTAGAGAATACTTAGGCGAAATTATAGAAAATGTAGCGGAACGGATTCCGACAATAGGGGAAATCATAACTCTAGACCTCCTTAATCTTGTCTCCAATCCTTATCCTTGTTAATTGATAGTTTTACTGCTTTCTAGTATTTGTTAGTTAGTTAGATAAAAATAAATATTATAATCTTTATAATTAGGAAATCTTTTTGACTTGTGTTTCTTAGCGATATTGAACAACTGTAGTTAAGCCTTAGTACTCTGTGGGATTCGACTCCGGACTTGTAAACTGAATTATATTTACAATGACCTCTTAGTACTTTTTATAAGGCATAGTTGGACGTGATCAAATTTGGCGCCGTTGCCGGGGAACTAACAATGCAGCTGTAGGTGTACATATTTCTATGTTGCAAGTTTGAACTTTTATTTTTGTTTTCTTGTATTTGATTTTTTTTTTAAAATTTTCTTAATCTGAGAGACATGGAATCTTGCAATTATGCGAGTATTAATGTTGGTAATTCTACTTTTGATCCTCCTTATGCATGTTGTGGAGGAAACCACCCATTGCAAAATTGTCAAAATATTCCTGAGAGCGAGTTATGTGCACCAACTCAATCTTATGTGTGGAATGTGTGTGATATGTGTGGTGGTCAAAATGGTCACTTTCATGGTTGTGCTTATATTTCCTATCTTCCCCCAACCCCTTACTATGATGGTTCTACTTTTTCTGGTGAAGTTAATAGGAACAAAGAACCCAGGGAAGCTGACTTGAAGGAGATCAAAGATATGTTAAAATGTCTCATGGAACTATATGATAAGAAACCAATGCAGATACAAATGAGAGGCAACTATTCACAATTTGGAGGTTCAAGCGAATAAACTAATTGAACCTTGTAAAGCTCAACAAGTTTATATTGTGGATAGTAGCCAAGATGAGCATGAATTGGCTGCAGAAATTGCCATTATAATGGAGGAGTTGAGAGTGGAATATGACCAAACCAATCAACTAGAATTTGAGGATGCCGATGTTGTATAAGAGATACTAGAGTCAACCAAGGACATTGATGATACATATTTAGTTGACTCTAGTGTCATTAGTGTTGAGGATGTAGACAGTCCTAATTTCATGTAGTTGAGCGCATTGTTCCACACTCCAATAATTTTTTCACATTGTGTTTGGATGATGATATAGAAATAGAGTCATCTGAGCCACTTGAGGAGTCAAGAAATGAGGAACAAGGTGCCTACATTCTGGAATTCTTGTTGCTAGAAAGTCAGGATTACACACCTCATCTAAAGGCCAAGAGGTGCAGAATACTATATTATTTTATTGGGCCAGTCAGATTCGTTCCACCACCCAGGAGTATGATCATAGAGCAGAATCAAAACTTGGGGTCTAATTTATCAGTTCAAAGTGGAGGTAGAAAGTGATTCGCATCGTGCCGTGACGTTAAATCAAGCACCTGTTGGGAGGTAACCCAACTTTACTGCTTTCTTTTATTTTTTATTTTTTTTAATTGTATTATTTTTGTAGTGTCAATTTTTAATTTTCTAGGAGCATGGAAAGCAAAGCTATTGGAAGGATGCAACAACAAACCAGATGGTTGGAACTAAGTGTGAGGTACCCGCACGAAGGACTAAGCCTGGGAGAAGTCTGAGTACCCCATGAGCTACTAGTGCTTTGGCTTCTGGCCTACCATGGAGTTTCTTTTACCCTTTTATTAGTTATGGTGTGCATTGGGGACAATACACAATTTTAAGTGTGCGGTGAGGAGATTGTCTGGGTGACTTTCTATGCTACTTTAGCTGTGTTAGTTTAATTGAATAACGTTTTAAAAAAGAATATTGGACTTTTCCCGATGATGGATCTATTAGAAACTTTTCTTGAGGGATCTAAGTCTAAAAAAAGGACAAAAAGATTTTATTTGTAAGTAGTGTAGTAATTCCCCCTTGATTTTTCTTTGTGTCGCGGTTCTTTTCCAAGGGTTTTGTTTGAACCGGGTGTAGTTAGTTTTATTTTTTAGAAGTAGGAGCTAGTGTGAGATGAATTGGATTGCAGTGATATTTCTTAACTTTGTTATGCCTTGAGAATAGTTAGTACTCTGGTTGTAACACTTAGGCTCAGTTTTGACTCTAGTATAAGTACCTTAAATCATTGATTCTTAAATTTGCTTGACTACCTCAACTGGAGTGTTGTGATAAAACCAATCCTGAGTGAGTTATGTGCCATGTCTGTATGAAGTTTGTATGTATTCAGTGCATTGTATTTGATGTCTAGAACTTACCCCGTGTGTGTTCAAAGCAAAATAGTAGCTTTATTCAGTCTTGGAAGTGATACATGCGTTTCTTTTGTTGAGCCAGATATGTATATTTTACCCGCCTAATTATTATGTATCGTAGTTAACCCCTTTGAGCCTGTAATCCTGTTTTTTTGGAAACCATATTACAAGCCTTACCCACATTGTTTGAATTAACCATCTATTTGAACCTTTTCACCTCTCATGAGCACTTGAAGTGTTATGACTTTGTAAAAGTTAAAGTGTGGGGTAGTTGGTTCGGCTTTTGAGTGGAAATAATAAAATAAAGAGAAAGGTTCACTGATTTGAAAGAGCAAGAGCCACTTGAATTGAAAAAGAAAAGAAAAAAAAATTAATTATATTGTATGCAGATATTCATTGACAAGTGGAAGCTCATGATGTAATTGTGCTTAAATAATTTGGGAGTTGATGTATATTGATGTGAATGTGGAATCATGGTTTGACATAAGTGTGGGGTTTAAATGTTAAAGTATATGTATTAAAGTGCTTAGAGAGGTGTAGTCACTCTTATATCCAAATGTATCCTACCCGACCCGCAGCCTACATTACAACCAATTAAAGTCCTACTTGATCTTAGATTGAATGAGCTCAATTAGTAGAGTAGTACACTACGGGCAAGCCTATGGTGCATCTTTTGTAGCATATGAATGTTATTTCTGAGAGTGAGTGAATTCTTTCTATATTGAGTTTCTAATTGTTCTTAAATTTTAAT